GATAACACCACATTCTTTGATAATCTCATAAGTATTAAAATTGATGTGATTCCCCCGGTGCAGTTATATATGCCGAAATTTAATGAAGATTCATTGTGAAAATTTATGCAAATATAATATATGTATATCGTATACTCACGATACTTGTTTAAACAAAGAAATAATTAACACAATCATTGTGTTCAATTTATCTACACTTAATAGCATATTTCCATGACAGCTGAACTATAAAATATATAAAACAAAATATAAATTTTATATTATAGAACAGTGATCTGAATAAAATTGTAAACATATATATATAAAAATATATATATATTTTTTTTTTTCTTTCCCCACTAACAGAAATACTGTACACGCAACGATATGTGCATTTGCGTAAACTTCCGCAGTCCAGTAATAACAATTACTCAATAATATATAATTTTGTCTTACACATGGCCAATTATATTGTAAGTTATGAAAAATATGTAAATACATATTACTGTGTTTAGATTTTTGGTTCGGTTACAACACCACTGAACAATGATACGACGGTATTCGCGTTCCTATCGCCATCGTTTTCGTGGTATACAATGCTATAATAGAATGGCCGATTGACGGTGAAATCCACGGCGTACACCAATGACAGTTTCATCATAATAAGACCTGGAACACACCATTGGAACTTCACACACTGATTTATAACGTGCATTCTTCGCTGATTTGAACAACTTTTTATTCATTTATCGCCCGCCAGTGGTCATTGTCAGACTGCGTCTCTAAAAAATAACCCTCGTCCTTCCAAGCTGGGTCACTTTTTACCCGTGATTCCGACGATGTAAAAGCGGCAACGTATCGGCATTGCATGTAGTTCGGTGTATCTATATTATATTCTACTGTTCTCGCGTGGGTCAGAAGTGACCCGGCACGGTTAGTTTTTGATCGAAGTGATCAATGACCTCAAACACCATATTACACCATGGTATTTATTGTTGAAAGTCCGCAGTCTACAAATTACACATGGGTTCTAATATTTTTCCACTAAATACTGGTAGAACTCTACTATCGTTCAATGTTTTCACAATAAAATAAAAGAACGGACGATCCACGATGAATTCTTGTTCAATGAGTCCGATTGTTAATGAGTCCACTGTGATAATAATCGCTGCAACAAATCACGACTTGGTGGTAATTTTTCAATTTGAATTCACGTTATTAGTATGGCCGTTTTAGTTCATATTATTATTGGACTTTATGTTTTGTTTGCAGAACAATTGTTTATTTTATCATGTATAATAATTACAATACAATTATACGCTCACGTTGATCCGAATCTTTGGCTAAAGCAGACTAGACTCGACGACTATATTTTAATATTGGTCATTTTTCGAAACACAGAAGAGAAATAGAGATCAAAGTGAGGGGGAGAACGGTTCGAGAACACGACCAGAAAAGAGCACAACAACATTGCCATCTTCGGTTCCCTGATTCTGAACTCTGCTGATGATACTATAGAAAAACGGTCGGTCAACCATTAGCTGCAGATTAAATACGCTACAGCGCGCTTGAATCACTATTCCTGAAACAAATTGACCGTGCTAACTCTCTCAATGGATCCTGATCCATTAATTCGAGTATAACTTCAAAAAAAAAAAAACGATTACTCGTTTATCATGTTAATTGTGTGAAGGACAACGTGAGAGCGATATATTAACAAGCACCGAATACAAATAAGCGAAAAATTAAAAAAAAGTCGATCGTATGAAACAGGAGAAATGCTTTTTCTTTTACGAAGAAACGTATTGAAAGTTGACGCAGTCTTCTAACCCTGGGACAACACAAAAACAAGCTATTCTTTATTGCCCTATTTAAACTTTAAACCAATGAAGATAAGGATTCCTTAGTTAGGTCCATTTATACTCATCGACGAGCCGAGCAGATTGATATTTTATTATTATTTCTGAACATACACACAAAACACCATATAACGAAATTAATTTTCAATTGGAGGATGAAAAATGGATGAAAACGTCACATTAAAGGTAACACCCTGCACAGAATGGATACTGGATGCCGATTGAACGAGCTCGTTAAAAAATCGTTGTCGACGAATGTAACACGAGGCTCGTACGAGCCTCGTTGGCAAACGACTGAAGACTAAACGACAAATGATTAAGCAATCGAGCATGATGTATTCAGTCATTGGAATTTGCATGTGCATATGTACTAATGAATAATCAGAAATAATGATAAAACATTATCGGCACGTCGATAAATATAAACCGACCTTTAATATGTAAATAGTATGTTGCTTAATATGCAGATTTATTCAAGAATTCAAAAATCCATTCCTAAAACACATACAGCTTATTATTTGAATTGATTCACTTGATTATCCTTGCCAGTGATTTCATTCATTCTAGAAATTTGATATTGTACCAACGAAGATCGCAACTGTGTCATGTTTAATTGCAAAATAGAATGGTCTGTCAATTCTGAACGTTACGGGAATTATTGGAGGACCTGGAAACATCGCAGGTGCAAGAAAGCCTAGAAATAAATATTAAACATGATCAGCAAATAAAATAAGTTAGATTTCTTTAAAAATAAGATATTGATGAAATTATTAGAGAACAAGACACTTTGTATGTCCAGAAAACATGTTCAAACAATGAGGTGTAAATTTGCTTTGTTGTCTTTCCAGCCTCTACTGGGATTAGTGAACTACTGGGAACTGCGTGAAATTGCGAATCCGAGTAGAGTGGGGACTTACGTTGGGCCTCACTATACAAATACTGTATAATTGGTAGCTCACAGTTACTCACCGATACCAGATCTATCCCGAGTTCGCCTTAATTATAAAGCTGTGTTCTCTCAATCTCGATCAATGAGCTGTTGATTACTAGGAGGCAATTATAATACATATGGACTTCGTTATGTAACGCAAATACTATTGGAAATGTGAGCACAGCTTTAAAGGCCCTGGGACTCTGATTCCGTAAGGCCTCAAGTGTAGCAACATGATTTAAAAAAAAAAAAGAAAATCTAACCTAGCATTTTGCACTAAAAACTGCTTTGCTTCTCCGCAAGGAAAAATGTATTTGAATTAGTTATACGGCATCATAGTTGTTACGTAACAAAACATTTATTGCTCGCGATCCTGAGTAAGTCTCTAGTCATTAGAATAGTCTTCTCACAAGTTTCTTGATAATCCTAAATTTATCGACGATTCTTTATGTCGATTTCACATTTTATGTTACCGTAATATACCAGTAAACTAAATATGAAATTATTATGATATTATTATATATATATTATATATGTTATAAATTTTACTCTATCAATTTTTATTTGATTAAATAAACTGCTTGAATTCTATTTAATATTTTCTCTAAATTTTTAAAACAGAAGCACGTGTTAAAGGCTTGATTACGCGTTAACGTTGCATTATACAGGGGCAAATGATTATAACTGAAATATTTGATTAGCAATTGTTTTTTTAATTAATTGTTTATATTGCAGTGCAAAAAATCGTCCCGAAGAATTTGGAGTGAGAAATATATTTGGTAGGAATTACGAAAACAATTGTGTATATTATAAAAAATAAGAAATAGTAATAGGATTTCCAAATTAAAATTCAACGACTCTATCATAATATTAAATCAATCTGCTTTCACAATACATAGGAAAGTGTCTCTTACTATCTTTTTGGACAGTCTCATGTAAATAAATGCATTTTATATGCAATGTGAATTTATAACTTATAAAAAAATAGAGGTACAGTCAATGTGATGCTTAAGTGAAGAAACGAAAAATAATGACGGTAAACTTGGGAAAGTTGTAAATTAAAAAAACATAATTAATAGATCATTTATTCTCTATGCCCTTAGAGCAAGAATGAAGTAAACACACAACGATGTTTATAGACATTTTCATAGTTTTGGAATGAAATATGGATACTACATTTAGTACAACGATGTAATAACATTATCCTTTGCCTATTGTTTACTTTTACTGTATACATTTCTTTTGATCCATGGTAGGAAATATCAAATTCTGTGTACAGCAAGAAATGTTATAAAAAAATTAATCTAAAAACAACTTTCCTTTATATACAGAAAATTCTCGAACATGATTTCTGAACATACTTATCAGAAGAAAAGTGTAGATGACATTTATTACGTGTGTGTTGAAGTTACATTATAAAATTCATTTTATACTTCCAATAAATATGTAGTATAAATTTAAAATCCCCTTTTGTACAAGTAAATTGACATATAATTTCGTAACATAAAAGTAAATCTCGGCGTGATACCAATTGAAAAATAGATTAATTGTGCAATATGTTCGAATCAGTCAAGTAATTTGGATTGAAATTAGTATTGATTGGCAGGAAAGATACATTATCACCCCTAACATAATACGACTGAGATTCGTTAGGTTCGTTTCTCGCATGGTAAAAGAAACGCTAAGATATGGCTTTTGCTAAGAACAAGGCTACGTCATGGTAATTAACGATAAGCAGGAATGGTCGATTGATGCGGAACTCAATAGGCTTCGGCGGTGACCAAACACTCGAAAGAGGCCTTACATTGAGACCTGCCACAAGCAATTAACACTGTATTACTAGTCTGAACCGTGAGCACAGTATGCATGAACAATAAACTCCACTATGTGAACGTTAGATTTGATTCGAACGCAACTTGTTTTACTATATCCCGACTTCCAAGTTGCAAATCGAGACAGGAAAAAGAGTGAAGAAGAATATTTCATAGATATTCTGGTAGCAGGTCGGATAGCATGCAGCATGTAAAATGTGCGAGTTGCGAATTTGTATGCATCCATGGCATATGTACCTAACTCACAAAAACAATGAAGTTAAGATTGTCGAGAATATATAAATCTTACGCAAATAACAAAATTCTGCTAATTTATACTTCGTCCATAACTTAATGTTGTAATCAATAAATATTTGCATCAACATCTGTAGTTAAGTTATCGTTATTAGTCTTCTTTGTACAAGTAAATTTGGAAAAATATAAATACGCAGAAATGTCTGCAATCTCTAAAGGTACATGGTATGATAAAGAATATTACACATTTGGATCAATGATTCTTCCATTGAAGAGGACTATGTTGTCACTTCTTGATATAATTGCATAAAGGAAAGGTCCATTTACTTGAAATATTGTTGGTGCAATGAGACTGAAGTATTCAATTCCAATGGCTGTCAACAAGAATTATATATTATTACTTACTAAAAGCGGACTGAAAAGTATTTTTTATGTTTCCTCTCTCTTTTTCCATTTTCATTTGTACGGACTTTGTTATTTCTAAATGTACCAAATGAATGAGACAACTACAACAAACTACGAGTATCCAATAATAATTGCACAATTCTAACCATATATATTTTTTGATCAAATAGTGTTGGTTTTATTAACCCTTTTAATTATCGACTCATTACAATCGGCTAGAATGATTGATTAGTATGTTATAAAAATTGTGTGATAAACTGAAGATATTAGAAAAAACAAATGATCATGGCGTATTAGATAATGCATGAAACATATTATGATTTATTTTACTATGTTAAAGGTTTAGAGTTTATATGATGAAAACAGAATCTACATGCACGCACGAGTTCAGAGAAAAGCAGCATTGAAAAATTATGCATGAGTTAAGTTCATTGGAATACTAAGCAACTAATTGCTTTTTTTAACTCTAAAAAGCAAGATAGGCTCACCAACTCGGCATCGAACAAAATTAAGCAAAATACTATTTCAACCATTAATAAATAAATAAAATAGTACGTTAATCAATCCATTAACAATCCAAAATGAATAATCAGTACTAATAACAGAAATTCATTGACAATTAAGAAATTTGTCTATATTCTCTTTACCTATACTTTTTTAAGAGTTTCATTTTATAAACTACTCTTTGATAGATACATGCCAAGTTTTCAAAAAGTACTGTGAAATATAACCATTACAAATTTTAATAAACACAAAGCATAAATCGTTTTTATGTTAATAAACACAAAATGATATTCTGAAACAGTACTAATTTCAACTGATCACAGAAAAAACATTCATTGACTTACCTGTGGCAGCTGCGGCTTCACTACCTTCTTCATTCACTTCAATAAATGCCTTTTGTACAACTTTGCTGACAACTAATTCGGCGTCAGCAATACCAGAGAAGTTAGCGTGAGAACTGAACATATCAGTCAATCCAAGCTACATACAATAAAAACCATTAAAGCAAACACATTAATTGATTGTATATAGATATAATATTGCTTACCTTCTTCAAAGGAGAGTTTAGGTCTAGTTTACTTTCGATCTTGAACTTTGGAAGGTATAACTGCACCTCCTGTACGATTCCTTGACTTAGAACGTCGCTGAGGTTTATGCTATGTACCTTCTTTTCTACTTCAGCCAAACCATTAACTTCATTTGGAAGAATGATGACCATACTCAGTGAATCTCCCTGTAAAATAGGATTAATTATTGCTAGATCTTACCTATATAAGTAATAAGAATATCAAAAATATTACCTTATACGGTATTTCAATGAATTTAGCATTTAACTCGGGAAGTTCGCCGTACTTGTAGTGATCTTGCCTATGCATAGTAGGTACATTTTTTACTGTATTTCCATTAACGTGGAATGGCAATGATTGGGTGGCTGCAGGATCGAATTTATCTTTCCACAGACCCTTAAAATATACTGCGTTAACTAGCACTAATGCCGTGTCCGCATCGACATCACCTGTGAAAAAGAAATGTCGGTAAGTACGTAGTTTAATTATTATATGTACAAATGTAAATGTAAATATTTATACTAACCAGATCCTATAAGGTCCTTAATGTGGTTGTTTGTCTTGTCACTAACCCATGAGTTAATTTCGTTTGCAGCCTGTGCAGACTGAGCAAAGTCAACTAATTGAGTTTTGGATTTGAAGTAATTCTCTGTCAATGACTGGTAAGTTGGTTTCAAGCTAAATTTATTGTTGAGAAATGCTTTATTCGCCAGGTTAAGTGTGTTTTCTTTAACACTCTAAAATAAAACGTAAGAAGAGAATATAAGACAACAATAGAGTTCAACTAGAGTTCAACAGAAGAAACATACTAGTATAATCATTTTTAAATAGAATTAATGTAGTAGTTACATTTAGAGAAGTGATAAGTTCTTCATATCCATGCATTGCAAGTTTATCTGGATTGGGTGAATGTAGTACAGCTTTTAACTGTTTTTCTGTTTCACCACGAGCTCCATAAGCAGCCATAGCAAGTACAACAGCTGCACTAAGAGGACTCATTATAAGATTGCCTGGATTTTCTTGTGCCACAGCCTGGAAAATAGTTTTGCTTAAGTAACGTTTGTCTATGTTTGATAACTTCGAAAATAAGTTAACAATCACTACTTTCGAATTGTATCCTTATATTAATTCGAAATTATTATACCTGGAATAGTGATGCTGAAAAGTCATTTGTTCCTTGTGACACAGCGCGCAATGCATCTGACCTGGATGCTGGTGAACCCATTGCTAGTGCAATAAGGAACGCGACTAAGATACTTTCCTTCACTGAAAAAAATGTATTTATACATATTAATATTTAAACCGAAATTTTGTTCACATGTTTAAGTCAAATACAAATATTTGAATTTTATGAAAATGACAACTGTAAGATATGTTCATTTACATCAGTATGTAAAGTCTTTTTAAATTCTTCGATTTCTATTTTGTTATTATTCTGACCTATAAAGCATTCAGACAAAGAGAAAAAATTTTTTAACGCGTCAAAAACTTGTCTATGAATGCAAAAACCATAGCCGTGCCGACACAAGCTAAATTGATGTGTAAACAGTACGTGCATGTACTGTTTATTATACAGGCCCCTATAGTTCCGAAATTCAAGGTTGGAGGTTCGATGTTCGTAGAAGGTCGAGACGATTGAAGGTCGAGCAGGTGAAGTTAAACGCACCATACGGGTACCCGATTATTACCCGATTAAATACGCTAAATAAGATATAAAGTAACTGTACTGCATATTCAACTGTAATTACATTATGTAGCGCCTTACGTAAATTAATTAGCTCTATGTAAAAAAACAAATTTTTATCCTTCGTTAAAGTTTTAGTTATGATCTAAAAATCCTCTATCTTGTTATATGTTTATAAACGCTTTAAAAAAATGATTTTTTTAAAGCACCAATTCTGCTACACTTCATTCAAAGGATTCGTTAGAAATTATCTATTCAAGAGGGAGCAGAAACAGGACGAAACTCTGGTTCAGGTTTCGCATTGTACAACATTTGCCTTGGCCTCGATACATCGATAAAAAGAATCAATCTGTTTCAGTTCTCAAAATAGGATTGTTATTTGTCCAATCGAATTCTTTAAGAAAATCATTCCTTGTCCTATAAACCCTTTTGTAAAACCTGAATGAATTTATGTAAACCACGTATTCGTTATTGTAAATACTAATATTGGTTTACGATTAAATAAGAAGATTCATCATTCTCACGTGACAGTGTTAACAGTGGAGTCGCTAATAGACTAACTAACCTTGGAATTTATCTGTGCACTGCAGAGGTGTGCAGAAATACAATTGAATTACTCGAGGAATTATAATTACGAAATACTTCAACCATATTGTAATTCCTAATTCAGATCTCCGTTCAATTAAAATACAACGTAACTGAATTAGCACAACTCTGCTGCACTTGATCATTTTTGATTATCTTTTTCGTATTAAATACGTGTGTAGAAATATAGTGGCTGTGACCCTCCGATTGTATCAATCTCTATTTACTCGACGCAGAGGTCCTGGACGATATCAAAACAACTGTCATAACAACAATTCCTCTGCATCTTGAACGGACTATAAGATGTTCATGCTTCCCGAGTGAACCGAAGCAAGTTCTGTACGGAATTCCACTATTTTTCCCTGATGGCAATGGGAAAAACCCGTCCAAGTAGGAACAAGTATTACCTGTTTCTTTCATCGCGATATCGATGGGGATTTCTCGGCGCGGTCTCGTAAAACAAATAAAAAGAAATACGAGAGATAGTATATAACAAGCAAGATAATTTGTGCACAGATGATTAATCATAATCCTGGAAACTGTTATTATACAATCACAGCATGTAACACGTGAAGTCTGCAAAACTTTCGATCGAAAACCGCAAGCTGATTATCTTATCTTCCCGCTATTCTGCGGTGACCGTTGACCGTAAATACTAAAAAATACTTTTTTCTCCCAGCGAATAAAGTGATTAAACGAATTCACAATAATTACGATAGAAGACGACCTCACATTAAAACACTGACAGAACAATAAATCAACGGAAAGAACTTGTGACAAACGGTAAATAATTTCCGGCGTTATGCTATTGGAATTATTATAATCGTGTAATTATCCTCATCCTCGGTGAATATTCCATTCAAATTGCAGAATTTATTGCAAGGAAGACGAGTGCGGTTACGCCAGAGCATAATTTGTTTCGTATCTTACGTTGTCGCTATGTCCGATGGGAATATTGAAATACGATAGTCAAAACTCCTTATGTGTGCATATTATTTGCATTTTTATTAACCGTACTTGTTTGGTGTAGCAAACAATTTATGCGAACATTAAAACTGTAAATTATGATTTACGTTATCATATAACTGACAACAGAATTTTATTTCATATTGAAAAACTTAAAACCTATTCGTCATTAAAATAATTACAGAAGGTATTTATAATATGAATAAATTCAATATATTGAATGGAACACGCGGATTAACATTATTAAACTGAATGTTCGGCTTCGTGTACACATGAATGTTCAATTACACTTGCTCAAGCATTTTCTTTGATACACCCTAAATAACTCGTATTTCCAGTTTCAGTTTCAGGACAAGATATGACCATGGGAGAAAATTAAATATAACCTTGACAACAGTGTCCCCGCTTCTACAGTTGTCCACAAAAGTGTTTATACACCAGAACGAAATTTGTTCAATTCAATTTTATTCGTATTTACATAACGTTTTTTTGGAATGTGTTTACACATAATTAAAGAACATTTCTTAATCTTCAAAACTGTGTAGGAGTAAATAAAAGTGAACTTTTTTCCTTTAAGTAAATAGAGCATATTTATTATATGGTACAAATAATGGGTCATAGAAGTCAATGTACACTTGATAATAATACGAATTTAAAGACTATTAATACTTCGTAGGGTTACCTTTTGCTTCAATTACAGTTTAGAATCGTCGCTACATTGATTGCACGAAGTTGGAAGTAATTTCATTGCTCCCATTCAGATTTAAAAATGTTTTTTATTTCTTCCCGGTTTGAAATCGGTGTACTTCTAATGTTTCGGTCTAATTCTTCCCACAGATGTTCAATTGGATTGAGATCCGGAGACTGAGAAAGTATTGCTACCATATGGGGAATATTATAAATAAACTATTATTGTACTAAATGCGATTTATGTTGAGGATCATTATCCTGATAGAAGTTGTGGTCATTCAGAATTCAAAGTTTCTCGGCACTAACTTTTAAGTTATCTTTAAATATATTTAGATAAACAAATTCATCCATAATACCGTCAATTAGTGCAAATTGCCCGCCCTCTTTGCACTCATGCAACCCCGTACCATTACCGACCCACCACCACCCCTCTTTTACACTCGCTCGCAAATTCTTTCTATTAAAAGCAGTTCCTGCTATTCCTCGCACCTTTTTCTTTCCATCATTGTTAAAAATGTTATATTTACTTTCGTCACAAAATATAGTTTTTCCCGGAATAAGACGTTTCCCGGAAACGTGCATGAAAATTATTTCGACGTACGGCGTATCGTTTCAGCATGCACACCAATTCCATTGAAGTCTCGTAATTCTTTCGCAATAATTGTTGCACTTGTAGCAGGTTCCGCTTTTATTTCTCTTAAAATTTCCTTCCCTAGTTCCTATCTTCCTGCAGCTTATTAACGACACATACATTTTTTAATATTTTCTTACAATGTATTGTATTGTGGAATGTGATTTCCCAACCATGCTTATAACTTCCCTTAACGATGTTTGTTTCTTAAATAAATCAATAATAATTTCCCGCTCTTCAATAGTTGTTTCTCTTCGTTTTTGATTGCGAATCATACTTGCAAACTAATTTTATAATTGATCTTACTGCACTCGTTGCTAACAGACTACTAAGGTATTCTACGGTTAATATTCAGTATTCAGATGTTTCACTTTGTCATTTGTTTCAATAATAGAGCATTTACGCATCTTATCCCGCAACTGTACGAAGCCTTTTGTGACCTGTCTGCACCATATAATAAATATGTTCTATTTACTTAAAGAAAAAAAAGTTCCTGCCTATTTACACCAATACAGTTTTGAAGACTAAGAAATGTTCTTTAATTATGTGTAACATGTATGTAACACATTCCGAAAAAATATTATGTAAATACTAATAAAATTGAATTGAACAAATTTCGTTCTGGTGTACGAACACTTTTGTGAATAATTGTACATATCGATAAATCATAATTTCATTAACACTATCGGCGTATTGATGGTTTAATTCACAGATATTTACGCAGCGATGATAACAAGTTCAAACACCATGTCAGTGAAAAAAATTGAAAACCAAATAAAAATGACTCTTATGCACTCTAACCCAATGACGAACACTTCTATCGAAAGTCTGATAGAAGTCTACGGAAAAACAGTATCCCGTGGAAACGTAACATAAATTCTCGTGATATTTTCCACTTATATCAAAGATTCGAGAAGGACTGTTGCGAGAAAGAATTTCTGACTTCTCACACAGGCAGTTAGAATAATGAAATGAAGTTCGCTGAGAAGCAAGGATATAACCTAGCAAAACAACACGATCTATACTCACACATCCTCATTTTGTCTTCTTCTCAACTGTCAATCACCAACGAAAGTAAAACGTAGACTGACAAAGGAAGACGCACCAAACGTGTCTTAAATACGAAACAAGGGGCACCGGGAAGTCCTGTGGAGGGATCGGCGGATATAATGGACAGCCAATAAGGAGGCTTGTGTCCGATGATGCGGAACATAATTGAGCGAATCGCGAACCTGATTGGCGCTTGCTTATGGAAATAACAAAATGCTCAGAATTCGAAACACAACATAAACAATAAAGTGGCAGCAGTGACACCCGGTATTATCGATGCTAATTTTTCGTTTGTCTCTTACCATTATAATGACAAATTATTTACAATGATCGTACACTAGAAAATCATTCAAATAAATTGTGAACAGATTGCGAAATGATGCTCCAGAAAAATTTATCATTAGAAAAATATTGACACATCTGCACCACGATTAAAGTTTTCGATTGGGACTTCGTATTTACCGCCACGGGTTGTATTATGATGATAATAATCCCACGTTTGGTAATTAAGTGTAGTGTAGCCGAATGAAAAAGTTGAAATAAAACTAGGGTATGAATTTTGTTGACGCACTTAGATAAAAAATAAAATATTATTGATAAGTAGGTTCTTAAACGGAGATAAACATATTTATCTTGTTATACTTCAGTACGCGTATATTAATATTTCCTTGTTGCGTATTATGGATTTCCCAGGAGTGAGTCAAGATATGATCATTTTGGGCATTATTAATTTATTAAATACTTGAAAAGAATGTAAAATGAAAAAAAAATGCAGCACATTTCGATTATTCGTATCTTAATGCATTTTCAGTGAGACAGTTTCATAACATATAACACCGGTATGCATACTAATCGGTATATAATGAGTCATATTCCATTGACAGTTCTGGTTATGGCCATAAAAAGTATAAAAAAGTATGTAGAATACATTATGCACTTACCTAACGGCACGTGTCGTTTAAATTGCTATCTTCCCGTGCACGATCTATATATCGGTAATGCAGCAACACCACCTGATGCAAGGTGTAAATGTAACTTAGGTCCCCTAGCAGATGCTACGTGTCAGCGTCAAGCAGTGACGCAAGAATGGATCGGCCCACACAAATCGATGGGTCGAAAATTTCGACGAATCGATTAGATCACCGTTGTTGCTTGAAGTTAGGTTGAAATTAGAAAAATCCCCACACGGAAGGTGAACAAACTCAGAACGATTATGAAATCTGTAACATTTAAATATAACTTCGATGTAACGATTCATTCACCTAAATATGCATCATAGTTGACAATGAAATATGTAATCAATAACGCTTCATGCTCTACTTTTATTTCCATTATTATTCTGTAATTGTCACCACAAACTATATACTACGTAAAATAATGGGCAGTTACTAGAAATGCATCTGTTTCTTATTTGAAATACTATATAAATTTGTACTTCTCTTCATAACTTGATATATCAGTGACTCGCTAGATCAGTGAAATCGATTGCTTTTTACCCAAGTATTTTAAATAAGATAATGTAATACTTTATTTTTAATTTAGAAATTGCGCAAACTTGCAAAAACAACATTCATTGAATAAATACATTAAGAATCAGTAAATACCTTTCGAAAACTATCCGAGGAGCTTTTACACTCGAATCGGGCCACGGGCGCGGTCGGTTAGAAACTGATTGATCATCAGCTACACCTTATATTATTGGTTCTTGAAACCATCCGCCGATAAGATTATTTGAGAAATTCTGAATAAGTGATCGCACGTTCCAACTATGTGGATCGGTATAAATATACTCAGAACCTTGAGAATCGTTCTGTTTGAAAAAAATTCTTTACAGTGATTACGTTTCTTCTACGGTATTTATTGTATTATACAGTCTTCAGTTCCTGATATTTTTTTTTGTTACGTTCAGGCTTTTTCAAAATATCTTGCATCGAGGCTTATACCGCGGAACGCTCTATTCTTGTCGCAACATTTGCTATTGTTGGGATCTTTCTGACAAAGATTGCAGCCGCATATCGGCTGACGTGGTTCCTGAGGACCATATTTGGGTGGACAAGGTGGACAGGGTGGGAGCTTCGGTTTCGTCTCACAACAGCAAGGTGCACAAGGATCCTACGAATATATTCCAGTCAAAGCATTCGTACGTTTACGGAAAAGTACAACGGTTAGATATATAGCGCAGAACTGCGTTGCAAGCGTCTCTTAAACTATTCGTTCCACCCACGTTCCTTACTGTTAGCTCTTTAGTTTGTCATAGCATTATTGGACTTGGTTCCACTTTGGTCCAAAGTAAGGATTCTTACTGTCGCGAAATCGTCAAAAACGTTCACTTCGCAAAAGTTAAAGTAACAAAGAGAAATAGGGCCGAAGAGAAATAACGTTGACATAAGGTTATTCACCTGCATTTTAATAAAGCAACACGATTTGTTGGAGTCAGGGCAAATCTGACTGGGAAGAACGTATGGTGATCTCTTCCCTGAGGGATCTCTGTAACCTTCGATTCCAGATTCTGATTCTGCAGAGCGATCTGCATAGCTGTCTGCATAGTCCTCTGCATAGCCCTCTCCTTCAACTCCTCCACCAACTCCTACTTCAACTCTTCCTTCAACTCCTCCTTCACCCGTTCCTTCGCTACTTTTTCCAGTTAGCCTTGCTGCTTCTTCTTCTTCCATTTTCTTCCGTTTCGAGGGACATGCTGATGGCTTATTTTGACTGACGTTCCAGATATCCCAATAGGATTCAACGACTAGAAAATAATAAATGATCAATAAATTTTCGAGCAATAATTATATCAATTTTATTACAGAAATAATAATTTCATTTACATTGATTGAAAATTTTTCCCAGCACAGATTGACATGGGCCATCGGACATAATTGTGTAAAGAAATTTTTAAATTTTAAATTATCGAACGTGTTTATGATGTTAAAAGTTTAATTGCTAATTCAACATTTTGAGTACAATTTGTGAAAGTTACAGCTGAATTTAATTTTTTGTTGCATTTGTGCGATACTAATGAATTTTGAAAGCCATATTTATGCATACGTGAAAATCAAAATAATTGAGTGCTATAGCAAAGGCGAAATTCCGATTGGAATGTTCGTACCCTAAAAATGAACGAGCTCGATTCCAAATTAAAAATTTTACTAATATAAATTGTAGATATTTATTTTTTCATTCATATTCAAGGTGTCAGATTAAGTTATTATAATTTTAAATGTATAGACAACTTACTATTAAAATATAAATGCGCTACAAATTTAAATATCAATTCTGCAGCCATGTTCATGACATTCAAACTTGCGCTAGCCTGCGCAGAGACATAATCATTTTGCTTGCTATAGTTTCGTTTATAGACATGTGTTTATCCTATGACTTACGAAAAAAATGTCTCCAGCGCTTCCTGGCGTTATAAATTATAACTTATAATTTATGATTAATTTAGTAACCTCGAAACTTGTTAGAAGTGCTCAGATTCTGACTTCAAATATATGTATTTATGCTTCTCTACAATTATATAGTTATGTTACATCAAAATGTTAACATGAACAATATATACTTTTGATATGAGTTTATAGAAATACATTGTAAATAATATTTATAACCAAGTAAAACACTTGTTTGCTGTAAATTGAGCGACATAGGATGGATGCTTATACAGTAGCGTTAGATCTGGGAACAGAAATGTATTGCACAATACATTTATTTGCAAATGTGCAAAACACCAATGAAATACGTACGAAAGTTATGAACGGTGAACTTTCTTGTTCTGTTATAAAAGCAGCACTTATAGCAAATCCATTTCAAATAGCGGTGGCTGCAAACAAAGCTGTGGTTAATGAAAAAATGAAGCAACTCACCACAAAAAGTTTATACACAGAACTCTTATTCAACTTATCAATATCAAAGAATATATCACGTTCTTTAATAGAGTTTGGTATTCATGACCGTGATAAAAATATATTGATAGCACTGATACACAAAAAAGGTGAAGAAGAAACAATGTCGAAAACAATTATGGATACTGTGAAAGGAGAGGTAACACCAATTTCAAGATTGTCAGAATATTCAGATCACAGTTTAATTAAAAAGATATACAAAATTGATAAAGATGAGCTAGATGTTTCTAATTTAACTGATTCAGTTGTGTCCAGAATTAGTTGCAAAGATTTTATATTGCTAAGATAAACATGAATGAAATTATGATGTATCATTGGATAGATTAAAAACGTTGTACTTTCAAATAAATTTGTCTATAATATGGCAATAAAATTTTATTTTAAATTTGGTAATAAATATTGTTCATTATAATAGAAATTTCTGCTGATTTTCTTTAATTGCATAATATTATAGTCACATTATTTGTCAGATCAAACATATTTCATTTTTTACATTTTATTTATTATTCTCAGAGTATAAGGCTTATGATAACTTAAAAACTACGATTCTTCGATTGCTACAAGTATCTTATAGTGAATACCTTATTCTAAAAGATTGACATTACCATTTCTATAGGTGTTATAATTTACAATATTCTTATAATTTATTTTGAGGATGATCAACTGTTATATTTTGCATTTCTACATGAGTCATAAATGATTGCATATAAGAGGATTGTAATACAGAGGAAAATTGGAGAATACACTTCAGTGAAAAATACTTTTTTGTTCTTTTATTCACTCATAAATAAGGCCAAAGATACGTAGAAAACAATTGTTACATCCGCAAGGACAGAGTATGCGTCAAATCCTGCAGAATTAAAGTAGCAACTTATGGATAACACCCTTAAATGCATACAGAAGCAATATCGTATTGACAATTTGTTACGTATACCTTGGCAAACCACACATTTCGCACATTGCACGTTCTACATCATTGAGATAAGTGCAGTAAGAACAAGTCCAAAGTGTTTCATCTGGAACTGGATTTGCAGGTGGATCTATACCATCTCTAATTCCACTTGTACCCACAGACGACGAAGACGACATTCTTGAGCTACTATTAAACGGTGTTTGAGTTGGATTTGCCGTCGGCATCACAGTCGAGAAAAGTTCTTTCACTGTTGCCCAATGGTCTGAACATGCCCATTTAACTGCTTTCTCTCTGTCTTTATCACGAATCGCTTCTAACAGTGGCATCATATGATCCTAAAACCAAAACACACGATTTATACCACCTACAAACTTAACTACCAACATGCATACAAACAATATAACACCTTTATCGGGAATATGTCCATGGTTGCAAGGAAAAGTAACAAGTGAAAGTCCGAAGTTGCTTCTAAAAATTGATCTTGAGTAAATTGTTGCATATATGATCCAAGTAAATGGAAATCTTGAACTTGTCCATCGACGAGCCTGTGGTTGAAAGTTCACATTAGCAAGATTCGTACCAGAGAGAACAATCAACTAATTTCTACTAGACACATACCTATTCTCGATAGGGAATGGAGTGATGTTGTCATTAACATGAAAAGTGTATTGTGGAGTGAGTGGTGTCGATGCAGGTATGTCTACCAATAAATACTCTACGGGCAGAGGTCTTCCTAGCCTTGAGACTTCATTTCCATACGAGTCTTTCTCCTGATAACAAAAGGTAAAGATCGTACAATAATCTTATGACAAAAGTGGGAGTCCAGACATAATTGAACAGTCTGATATCTAAATCTGGGCGGTAGTAAGAACAAGGGTTGTTCTAATTTACTCTTGATGAAAATTTCATTAAAAAATCTTTCTGCGACATTTTCCAGAATAATTCCAATTAATAAAAAGATAATGTCTGCAAAATTTAAACTCATTTTTTCTCAAAATTGCGGGAAATTTTTTTTTTATTAACTGGAACTATTCTAGACGGTGCCGCAAAAAATATTCAAGAGCCAAAAATAAGAGCTATCCAAGTGTACATATTCAAAACAGTTAAGAAACCGCGTTCTAACAGCTGAATAGAGACGGCCCTGGCACGTGACATTCCAGCAATACGATTGGCGGCTCGCAGCGGGTCTAATAATGTTCATAAGAAGGATCATGAAGGCAAGTCCGTAATGTCGGAATTGTTTGTATCGCAATTGTTAGAGGGTGGAACCGACATGAGTGGAACCGAAATTGTCGAACATTAGAGAATTTTAGATTAGTACAATTCTATTATAAAACTCTATTGTAAGTTAGAAATTATATTTAAAATTCATTATAATTGAAATTTCCATTTAAATTGATCGATATAACTATTCTACTTTTAATAGATCGAAATTTTCGTTTATTTCTTAGTTCCTGTGTAATATCTAGAACAATTAAAACGCACTGGTCCGGTGAAAGGGTGGTTGGAAGGGTAAGTCGACGCGTGAGGGGCCCCAACAACCGTAGACAGCACTGGACTCGATGGTAGGAGAACAACAGCATCGGAGAGAGGAGGAGAGCAAGAGAGTCTCGGGTTGGCCTGGTGGGGACCAGCATACGGGACGAGGAGAGGAGAGCAACAGCGTAAGCGACTAGCGCGCGCTGTGGTGTGTGTCGGTCGGTCGGTCGGTCGGTCGTCGCCGCCATGCTAGTGGTTAGTTTAGTGAACCAAACATTATGATGTGGCAAAACGTTCGCACGAGCTAAGACTGAAGTAACGCCGCGTTACCGGCGCGTCGTCGTTATGTTATTCACAATAACTCACGACGTTCGATAACCGTAAACACGTAACGTGAAAAGTACAAAAAGGCTTGGTAAAAGCATCGCGGCGACAGCGGCGACGAGAACGTCGGAGGTGCTCGATTCCTGCGTACGGATCCGCACAACACTACGTCAATCCCCGATGTAAATGAAACGCGAGTCGTAGATACGAGTAAACGTTACGGAATAATCCTTCGTCACGGTACACGTTGGGAGTGACGAGTGCCAACGATCAGCCTCCATCGCGCGGCAAGGAGACTATCACGAATCGTATACACGGTACGAAAGTATTTACGGTTCTACAATCGAATCGAAAGCCAGGGAAAAAGAACGAAAGAGAGGGAGAGAGAGAGAGAGAGAGAAAAGCATGAAAGAGTGAGACAGCCAGGAAAAAAAAAGAGAAAATGTATGTATGCGTCTTTCTGTGTAAGCTCACGCTCGCGTACGCGTTCTCCTGTGCGTGATAAGGGAAATTATACGTATATTCGCTTGTGTATGTGAGCAGGATCGCGTGTGTGAGTGCGCGCGCGCATGTGAGACGGAAAGAAAAGCAGTGTGAGAGTCATGTATATATGTATACATATATATGTCGTGTACGTAGTGAAACGCTAGACAGGGAGAGGGAGAGAGAGAGAGAGAGAGAGAGAACGAAGGAAGAGTAAAGGACTGACAGACGGGAGCGAGAGAACGGTAGAGAAAGAAAAAGCAAATGTGTGTACGGGGCTACGTCTGGGACGATGGTAGAAGCAAGAAACAACTACGATATTCCCGCGGAATTTGCCTAACGTGTTCCATAGTTCGCTAGTCGTTTTTCACTTGAACGCGGACTTGTCACGGCCTGTGTCGACAGTGTAATATCACGTAGGGAACACGCCGATAACTAGCAAGAATCCATACCGATAAAACGCTCGCACGTTATTACTGTGTCCGAGAGACAGTTTTGCAAGGAAATGTGTACAGTTCGTGCGTCCACCCCCTGTCGCCAGTCCCTACCGTCGAGTGCCTTTTCGCCGAGAAAATGGTAAATTCCAAAACTTCGACCGTTCGACCCTGTTAGGTTTTGGCGGGATTTCGTACGCATGCGCGGTCCCGTATGAAATGTCATTTTTTCATGTTTTCTCGGGTCTGGCCAAATTGTTGCATAATTATATCCGACGCGGTCGTGGTATTGCCGATATGTAGCGGATAAACGAAGCTAACCTCTACGAACGGGTTTCGTGCAGTGGAAAGAAACGTTGCCGTGATATAACCTGAATCGTGTGTTGTATACAGTAGACGCAGCCTTACGAACGAACAGAAAAAAAAAGCGACGTAAACGGACCACGAACATAAACGAAATCGCAAAGGATTTCGGTCATTCTTTGTTTTCCCGCTTCTCGCGTCGTTCGTCATTTAGCTGGAGACAATCGTTCGCGTTCTATTTTCGCTGTCGATAGTCACGTTCGAAAGAATCATTTCCGTTCTACGATCAACAGTGTTGCGTCGATCGGAATAAGTGACATCTCGAATCCTTGTGAAGTAAAATACGTATGTATCGTTAATTGAATAAATACACGTGGTGTATGTTAAAGCGCAGCTCTCGTCGTCCCCATTGAAACACAAACGCGGGTTCTATTAATTTATGATTGAAATTTCTGTGTTCGATAGAATCACGGCGAACAGAAGAAAAAGCAAAAAGGAAAGCTGCTCGAACGTCAACGCCGCTTGTAGTTTGTCTTGGAAATAATATCGAGCACGACCTTTACACTATTCTTCTAAATAATACGATATCGGAATTCTACGAAATTTCCACACGCTTTCTACCAAATTCGGAGAATACTTTTGCAATAAACTCGTGTATACGAACCGTGCCAGTATAAATAAAGTTTTTTTTCTCTTTCTGATATCTTTTCTCAAACAGTTTTTCTTTTGTCTTGGCTACATTTCAGATGCTGGATCCGAGCGTACTAACGGATTTAGAGGAACTGACGCTGTGCAGTTACTGCAAGCAGAAGTATAACGACGCCGAACAATGTCCNTGGGAGTGACGAGTGCCAACGATCAGCCTCCATCGCGCGGCAAGGAGACTATCACGAATCGTATACACGGTACGAAAGTATTTACGGTTCTACAATCGAATCGAAAGCCAGGGAAAAAGAACGAAAGAGAGGGAGAGAGAGAGAGAGAGAGAAAAGCATGAAAGAGTGAGACAGCCAGGAAAAAAAAAGAGAAAATGTATGTATGCGTCTTTCTGTGTAAGCTCACGCTCGCGTACGCGTTCTCCTGTGCGTGATAAGGGAAATTATACGTATATTCGCTTGTGTATGTGAGCAGGATCGCGTGTGTGAGTGCGCGCGCGCATGTGAGACGGAAAGAAAAGCAGTGTGAGAGTCATGTATATATGTATACATATATATGTCGTGTACGTAGTGAAACGCTAGACAGGGAGAGGGAGAGAGAGAGAGAGAGAGAGAGAACGAAGGAAGAGTAAAGGACTGACAGACGGGAGCGAGAGAACGGTAGAGAAAGAAAAAGCAAATGTGTGTACGGGGCTACGTCTGGGACGATGGTAGAAGCAAGAAACAACTACGATATTCCCGCGGAATTTGCCTAACGTGTTCCATAGTTCGCTAGTCGTTTTTCACTTGAACGCGGACTTGTCACGGCCTGTGTCGACAGTGTAATATCACGTAGGGAACACGCCGATAACTAGCAAGAATCCATACCGATAAAACGCTCGCACGTTATTACTGTGTCCGAGAGACAGTTTTGCAAGGAAATGTGTACAGTTCGTGCGTCCACCCCCTGTCGCCAGTCCCTACCGTCGAGTGCCTTTTCGCCGAGAAAATGGTAAATTCCAAAACTTCGACCGTTCGACCCTGTTAGGTTTTGGCGGGATTTCGTACGCATGCGCGGTCCCGTATGAAATGTCATTTTTTCATGTTTTCTCGGGTCTGGCCAAATTGTTGCATAATTATATCCGACGCGGTCGTGGTATTGCCGATATGTAGCGGATAAACGAAGCTAACCTCTACGAACGGGTTTCGTGCAGTGGAAAGAAACGTTGCCGTGATATAACCTGAATCGTGTGTTGTATACAGTAGACGCAGCCTTACGAACGAACAGAAAAAAAAAGCGACGTAAACGGACCACGAACATAAACGAAATCGCAAAGGATTTCGGTCATTCTTTGTTTTCCCGCTTCTCGCGTCGTTCGTCATTTAGCTGGAGACAATCGTTCGCGTTCTATTTTCGCTGTCGATAGTCACGTTCGAAAGAATCATTTCCGTTCTACGATCAACAGTGTTGCGTCGATCGGAATAAGTGACATCTCGAATCCTTGTGAAGTAAAATACGTATGTATCGTTAATTGAATAAATACACGTGGTGTATGTTAAAGCGCAGCTCTCGTCGTCCCCATTGAAACACAAACGCGGGTTCTATTAATTTATGATTGAAATTTCTGTGTTCGATAGAATCACGGCGAACAGAAGAAAAAGCAAAAAGGAAAGCTGCTCGAACGTCAACGCCGCTTGTAGTTTGTCTTGGAAATAATATCGAGCACGACCTTTACACTATTCTTCTAAATAATACGATATCGGAATTCTACGAAATTTCCACACGCTTTCTACCAAATTCGGAGAATACTTTTGCAATAAACTCGTGTATACGAACCGTGCCAGTATAAATAAAGTTTTTTTTCTCTTTCTGATATCTTTTCTCAAACAGTTTTTCTTTTGTCTTGGCTACATTTCAGATGCTGGATCCGAGCGTACTAACGGATTTAGAGGAACTGACGCTGTGCAGTTACTGCAAGCAGAAGTATAACGACGCCGAACAATGTCCGAAGTACCTTAGTTGCAAACACTACTTCTGCCTGCGGTGCATAGAAAACAATTTATTAAAGGGACGCGAGTTGTTCTGCGCGCACTGTTGGAAGAGGACGGACTTAGGCGACCAAGGGCCGGACGCTTTGCCGACCCATTCTCCTCTCCTTGCCCTGACTAACAATCTATCGCACTTAATGATAACGACGAACAACACGTGCGGGAAGAGCAACGACAAGGAGAGAAAGGTACATACCGGCCCGGAGACACCGAGCGAACACTAAAATGGTTGCATTAGGGACGAAATTTCGGGTTCGTCGGCCGGTTGCTCATACGTAAATGGTAAAGAACGCCATGCGGCTGTGAAGCCGTACAGAGACAGATTCTAATAGTAATAGGATTATATGTTATATGTCTGCGATAGTTTTTTCTCAAGATCTACAGTGATTTGCCGTTGACGCGTTCTGGCAAAAGATGATTAAATCAATGACGGTAATGCTTTTTCCAGAGTGAGAATTGTCACACGCATGGAATGCCCCTGGCGTTATGGTGCGCGACATGCTGTACGGCGCTCTGTAGGGCGTGCGCGACTCCACAGGAGCACCCGGGTCACCAGATCAAATCGCAAACCGATGCCAAAGAACAACTCATATCCGACGTAAATATCGTGGAGAAGAAGCTGGCAAAGGGCAACGCCACCTAGAAAGACCAGCGAGCGCGGACACTGATCGGTTGTTTCTGTTCCCACAGGTTCAATTGGAATTAGTTGCTATGGGGAAGCTGTCAACCGAGATTCAAAGACTGGCGATGCAACAGCGGGAATTCTTGATAAAAGTGTTGGAGGCATGCGTGACGCTGAAGACGCACGTCGAGACGGACCTGCAGAACGGCTGGAGCCACTTTCCCGAGATAACGGACGCGCGCGAAACACTCGGGAAAGCGAAAGCTAGTCTGCAGATGATCGAGAGCCCCAGCGACGTGTACAGCCTGCACTCGCAGCTGATCATCGAGAAACAAAGATTACAGTCCAAGTACCAAGAGATGATGTTGCAGTGCCAGCTGGACGACCTGATAGGCAATTCTGGGGTGGTTTTCGATTTCGCGCTGCTGAAGCAGGCGCTGGCTGGCATCCACTCCGGTGAACCGATAGTCTCCCAAGGGGCTAGCAACGGCGGCCGATTGCCGAACCATTTGACAGCTTCGCAGAATCCAATATTGTTCCTGGCAAACTATTGCATGTCGCAGCTATACTCAAGGCACGTGGTCAGCAAACAGCATATGCAGAACGGTTCGATAGAGTACCATTCGAGCATGATGCAGCCGCAACCAGCTCCGCCGGGATCCGTTCACGTGCACCAGGGCCCGCCACCGTCAGCTACCCCGCAGCAACTTCTAATCCCACCTGGCTCGCCGTCCGTTAAACCTGTTCCGCCCGCGCCGCCGAACGCGATGCTACACCCGCAACAATCGACTTTCATACCGGAAGGGGTCGGCACTGGTGGCGGAGGCCTGGTTACCGTCCATTCATCCTCTCAACCACCGTCCAGTGGAATTGCGGCATCACTCCGAGGACCTTCGAACCCCTATCCTCTCTATTACTTCAACATCGAAGTGAACGGATCGCCTCACGGCCGGATCGTGATAGAAGTGAGGCCAGACGCGGCGCCCAAGATGGCGAAAAATTTCAGTGTGCTAGCGACCGGCGAGGTGGGGGTCGGTTACAAGGGCTGTGCGATCTTTCAGTGCTGGGAGGGCGAGTCCGTGATCACCGGTGACTTCGAATTGAACAACGGCCGCGGGGGAAGAAGCATATTCGAGGACGGCTACTTTATGCCGGATGACACCAAGTTCCCGGCAGTTAGGGGAGCGGTGGGGATGCGCAGAACGCAGAAACGACACGACAACCTCGGCATGGTGGGATCGCAGTTTCGTATCATACTGCAGGAGATGCGCGGCTTTACGGGGATCTTTGGCCACGTCGTAGAGGGGTTGGAGCTGGTCGAAAAGATATCTACGTTTGGCGATCAGACCGGCAAGCCTACGAAGAATATTCTAATCACGAAGTGCGGTAAATTGTAACGACAACGCTGTCACAGTTAGTATACGCCGAACGGCGCAACCGGCGCCCGTATACTTCACGTTACCCCGTTCTAGATCACTGGAAACTCGACGAGCCGCGACGGTGTGCCACCTTGGGCAACCCCGTTCGCGTTCCTAGGGGCCAAGGGGCGCAGCGTATGCGAACGACAAACAGTCCTCTATACATATGCGATATATATCCGGAACGGCGACACGATAATTAAAAACGCTGGAAACCGTCGCGGCCTCGGAACAATCTCCAAATGGTAAAAGAATCGCAAAGATGCTCCGGTACGAGTCACACAATTTAATTAACTATTAACAATAGTAATTCTAAAGATGTTGAATCTATTTTTAAAACGTGGACGCATAAGAGAAGAAAGAAGAAATAAAGATCCATATTTTGCTATTGATTGGGAATCAATATGATTCTGTATCTACAATAACGACGATGATCGATGATGAAACAAAAAAAAAATACGTACCTCAAGATCGATCGTGATATCGATACGACTTCTAGCTGTACAACAATTTGTTTTAGAAGAAGTTCGACGTTTATTTTCGCTATCGGCGTATTGCTACGTATAGTTGATAAAGGGTAAAAATGATCCCGCGGGAATTTCAAAAGTTCCGTGTCGGAGACAAGCAAAACAAAACGACAAAAAAAGATAAAATATTGAAAATATTACGGTGCCGTCGTCCCGCTGGCGCCGATAAAATGGTGTTTTAGGTTGTAGCTAGTGAAAGAAACGAAGACACGTCAGAAACAGATGAAATAGTAAATCGAACACACAAACACGTACACATCGACACGCGTAGAAGTGTGGATATCTCCGGGGGCGAACTTGTATGTGCTTACACACGTGTATTCATATATTTGTAAAAACGGGGGAAATACGTACACAGAAGCGGTAACTTTTTTTTTGTTTTATAACCGAGAAAATAAAAAGCGCGCGCGACTTCGTAAAAGTCTAACAAATCGTGATTCCACATATATACATATATAAATATATATGTATACATATATATATATATATACGCAGGTCGTTTAGAAGTTAACCGAACGGTACGTAGGTGCGTGAAGATAAAGGGCCAATTCCGTGTTTCGTCCGATCAACGATCACGTATCGTTCTGTTCTAGGGGGTGGGAAATTAAAAACGAACGAAAAAGAAAGAAACAAATACACACACACACACGCATACATACAGTCACACATTTAAGAGAGAGAGCTAAAAGGGAATGAGCGAGCCACGCGAAACGACACGAAACGAAACTAAACGCGGCGAGTCGGGGGAACAAAACAAAGCGCGAAGAGAAACATTGTTCCCGTCGAGCGACTCGCGAGAGCACACGCTCCTCCCTTTTCGTTCTTTGCTGGTCTCGTAGGCCGTCGCGAATTTAACTGTATTTAAGATTAGATCTCAACATGAAAATGTATGCAAGGGCCTAACTACTACTATTGTAGATCGTAAGCCTCTCGTCGTCTAATCGGTGAAAAAAAGAAATGGTACCGGAAACGAACTACGGATAATATAAAAATGAAGGCGAAAAAAGCAAACTATAAGCGGATGTATATTAAACGAAAATCATTCCTCGATGCTGTATATCGAAGCACTACGATGTAATGTAAAATGCGTTATGTACTACTCGTCTGAATCCTCGTAAGAAAATCCCATCGTTATGTATCATAATCGTCGTATGATGTTGCTCTCGGTGCGTGTGCGGACGGTCGATTCGTCTCGAGAGGAGAGTGATAATTCTATGGTGTTTTCTGTGAAATCGGCGAGCGCGTAGACGAAAAGAATGGAAGACAACAGAATACCGTGTAACGTGAACGGAAAGTGAAGCGAAGCGTAAACGCACTCTCCACACGTATTCGTAGGTTAACAAAAAAATGCAAAGAAGAAACAAAAAAAATAATAATTGCACGCCCTCGACGTCGCGGATATGCCTTTTTCGAAGAAAGCCTCATTCGATGTTGAACTTGAAAGTTTTAACACTTGTTAATTAGCTGGTAAATATCGCGGGTTCTGCGGCCCCCGAGAGAGACAGACAGATAGAGAGAGAAAAAGAGAGATCCGGGCCGCACTACACGGATAAACGTAAACAATTGCCGTTTAGAGTGTAACACTTGCGTAATACGTATGCCGAGTCGAATAATTGGGGGTGGGGGGGTTAGTCGGGGCACACGAACGAATTTCTCTCGTTTTCTTTTTCTTTTTTTTCTCTGAACGCGGTCATGCGAAAAACACAGAAAGCTGAATGACCATGTTAGTCGTCGGGAATGTTGAAACTTTCGAATTCTAGACGTGGTTGTATCTTCGAATGGATTGTAAAAATGAAAGAGACGATATTCCTGTTTACCGAGCGAAGCTAGAAAAACCCACCTGTATACACACAATACCCACGCGCGCGCGTATATACTACATATATTTTTATGAACGTGATGAGGTAACAACGCATAGCTTGTAATATCGATTCAAACAACTGACGGTTTACCTTGCCCCTCGCGTTCGAATTAAACGGTTGAGCGGCTACAACTCTCGATAAGTTTTCATTTCCTTTGAATTTTTCCGTCTTTCTTTTTTTATTATTATTATTATTTTCTCACTCTCAACCTCTCACACTTTCCTTTCTATCTTTCGTTTCCTTTGATCTTTTTCCCTCTCTCCACGTAAGTTAAGGCGTTAATCATCATTACACATGGAAAATTGAGATCATTTTGTTTGAAGCCTACGGAACCGCATATCCGTAGCGCACACGCTTGAACAGTTTTATTATTTCATTATACATGTACGAAACGAAGTTCGTTGCCCAATTTAAATGTACTTTTAATCAATCGATTTTTTTGGGTTATAAATTGTTTCTCTTTCACTCGTGTGTACAGTTAATATGTATACCTTGGTCACCACCTTCCTTCTAGTGTTTTAAGTAAGTCGGTAACATGCTTTGTTTTGGTCTCAAGTGATTTATATTCAAACATAGTATGCATTTACAAGACCAGTGTCTCTGATTACGTTGTATTCGTTTGAACGAAGCAAGAATTTTACTAAATATATTGAAGCGAAATAAGCAATGGTACTCACCTTGTAGAAGACATCCGGGACATACTGTTTGTCAGTGGATTCAATTACATAGCCCAATTCTGGTGCGTCTTTCGTAGGAACTAAACAGCCATCCCGTACTAACGCCATGCATTGGTTCGACACTTGATAACCTTCCATGTGAACTTGATTTTTATCGTCTCCTATAAGCAACAAATTATCCACAGTTTACATAAACATTGTTTTCTTTTCATCGTAGAGCGAGATATTAGAATTTGACGCAAGTGACTTACCGGTAACGCAAACGGTAACGAACTTTGAGCCAAAATAATTGTTCGGTGAGAAACGACAAGGATTCGGATACTGATTTTGGAAGTGTCCAGCCATAATGCACTCTTGAGCAGACAAAAAATGACTTTCTACGTTTCGAACGTGTTTTACCTGAATAAATTAAACTAACGACATTAATCAAGGGAATAACTAACATTGTTGGGAGAGAAGAAATTTGAATCACTGTGAGCGAATTTACCGTTCCTTTCTTGACATTGTCAGCTATCAAATCCGTAAAGATCCACCCAACTTTTTTTAAATTAAGTAATTGAGCCAACTCATCCACCAGCGCCGCCTTTTCGTCTGGTAAAAGTCGTATAGAGTCTTCTGCACTCTCCTGAAATACAAAACGATCAATTCATTTGCATACTTGATGGTAGAAATGTAGTTTTTACTCTATCTATCTAAAACACTATCAAGGCTATCTAATATTAAACTATTTCGCCATATTGGACTTACTTGCGGTGGCTCATAAATGGCCGCTACAACGGCCCTAATTCCTAATGGTACATCTGTATGATGTTCGTATCTTCCATACAGATAGCCAATACGTTGGTGACCGGTGTCGCGCCAGTAATTGAGAAAGCGTTCAACCAACGTTGGATTTTCAAACATAACGTTGTCGACGTGCCGATACGTTTGACGGTTCAGCGTGATCGAATTCGGCTGACATTTACTACAAATACCTCGTGGCCAAGGAGGATGGTCTTTGCAGCCAGTCTTTACACGGCAGCTTATATCGTCTAATTGTATAAACTTCCCCCTGCAAGCAATTTACGAGCTACATTTGAGCCACACCACGAAATACAAAAATGGACATACCTATCAACGCCGGCAGTGAGTTTTCTGAGATATGAATGGAAAGACAGATGTTTTATATTTTGTTCTTTGAGGTAAGACTCATCAAAAGGTTCTAAAGGAGAACAATTAACACAACATCCATTTCCACCGTGTCTGCATCTGATGAAAACAAAATTGCTTGCTTAAGAGAAATATTAACAATACAGAGGAAGAGAGTGAATTCTATTACTTGAGAATAGATTTCTACTATATAATTGATAGTTGAAATTGTAAATAGATAACATTGGCTACTACTTGTGTTTACTTACAGCTTTTCATCCCGTTTTCTCTGTATTTTACCATCAACTTTCCATAGTTGTTCATCAACTTCATCTTCAACTACATTTGTTACAGATTTGGAAGCATTGATGTTTCGATTTTTAGGTGCAGTCACCTCTATTGGTCCTATTTCTGGCGAAACATGAAGTCATTAGATGAGTATGTTGAACAGAAGGAAATATTAAATGGAAAGACTGAATTAGAACCTTGAGGTGGATCATCACAGGCACTACTCGTAGATGGAATGTTCCATATCTGTGTACCATTATAGGGAACCATGTATAACATTTCTCCATGGGTAAGTCCTATTCCAGACACTGTTCTATTTAAAGAAGATATAATTTCATTTTTATGATTTCGTTCCCTGTAAAGTCCGAAGCCAAAACTTTTTAATTCGAATGCCAGGAAAATCTGCAATCACAGGAGATTAGTAAAATCTTATAATATGAGGTAAGAGAAAACACAACAAGCCAATTACAAACATTTTCAAACAATCTGGAAACTGTACTAGATGGATCTATATCTATACGTTTTGTTCCCTCTGAAGACTGCACACGCAGAGTCTGTAAATAAATAAATGTTTTATATTACTACGTAATAATAAATCTCTGTGATATTCAATTCTGTAGCATTTATAACAATAACAAATTTGCATAGTTCAATATATACTGTTATTTCGCACGTTTATGTAGAAATAAACAATTATAAATAATTTGTGGGATAAGTGAAAGCTCAATCTTTTTAATTTAATAGTTTTCTATGTGTAAATAACAAATGAGATACTTATATAAAAAAAAACAAGCAACGATATATCTAGGATATTTATGAATTCACAGAATTGTTGTATGTATATCGAAAATATAATATTAGGTCTGGTAGAATTCTAAGTAAAAAACAAAGAAACAAGACCCACTTGAACTCGTATCTGGGAACTTTTGGTTACATCAATGTCACCGCGTGAAATGCAAAAGTTTCGGCGTTCGGTCTCGGGAACTCGGAATTTTCTGAATGAAATCGAGTTTGGCATCGATCGAGCATAGCGTACGAATTAATTGGCGAGCACCGGGCGTTTAGCGGCAGATAACTTACGATTTGCTTGGACTTTGACATTTCGCCGGTGTCGATGAAGCATCAGCTGTTCAACTCGCTGTTCGGCTTGCCTGCTTGCAACGTGACGCCGTCGAATTCCCTAGTAGCCGTCAGAAAATTGTCGAGTCAACGTCTAGTATTCTAACCTCTCCTCTGTATTTAACGGGCACCGAACGACAACGTCCAAGCGAGAATCGCTTCTCGTCAAAGTCCTCCTAAGATGAATCACTTCCTCTTGTAAACCACGTCGACGATCCGCTGAAAAACGTCTCGCGAGTACTGCGATCTCCCGATATATTAACCAGCAGAAACTGCACCGCGGTTTCAGTCGTCGCCGATCAACAAACACGAATAGAACACGGCCGATCGCACACCATCTTATCGCCGTTATCGAGCACCGAATTCGTAAGTAAACGTACGATTACGAATACAGCGCGAATAAGTACGTGTTTACAACGGGGAAGGTTGTCACTCGTTTTTCGATGGCTATACGTGTGTGTGCACCCTTTTTCCCCCACGCGACGAACGCGAGCAGCGCGATCGCCAATTATTAATTTTTCAGCGGCAGAAAGAGGACACGGGCTCGCCGCCGGCTGTTCGACCATTCGATTTTATAATACTCTCTCCTGCGTGCCTAGTTTTCCTAGATCCGGCGAACGGCACCGTACCAGTTTCCGTACTTGTTTTGAATCACCCCGTACGCGGCTGACCGAAACTCGTCTCGTCACTCGGAACCGTTTCGTGTCGTACGATTGGCCCTCTTGCGTTTATTTTTTCAGCAGTTTCGTTCACGCGGACTCCTTTTGAACGTCAAAGAACGGCACGCAATTCGATCGACGTCGGACAACAAGTGATTCCCGCGACACGTTTTCCCGAACGGTTACCGAAACGCGAAAAACAGGGACCTCGAGTACGTTCGCGGATTGTTCAAGCTCGTAAATTTGCCGTTCGGTCGTGACCACCGCGGCGATACTTACCAATTACCAGGTGATCGTGTTCGTTTATAAATAAAACCGAGAGAGTCCTGCTATTTCGAAGCAATTATGAATAGGAAGACACTGGCACGAGGTATCGTGAACGAGGCGAGGTTTAGGGAATGTGACGAAGTTTGTACGATGGATATTGCAATCATTTTTTTGACTTGTCATCGAGGTTATCCTTGCGCGTAGGGTAAATAAACAGAAATAGACGAAAAAGGGTCTTTAACCTTTAAATCGTGGAAATAACTTGCGCACGCAATCTGAATAGGAATTTATATGGATAATTCGTTTTTTCTTGTAAAGTTTCATTTTATTTAAAAGCTGTTGCTTTTTATTTGGATGTTTTCAGTAGTTGTGTCGAGAAACTGCAGTGCGGATTGTTATTTTTTATTTTTGAGTCGAGTAGTTTTTGCTGAAATTAAAATACATTTGACTATGGAGTCGCAGGAAGTGGAAGAAAAACAAATGGCGGAAAGGATTTAAGAAAGAGTTCGTAACAAGTTACAAGTCATCAGCGTTGTTTATTGTTAGAATTGCATATAGTTTAGGTAATATTTTTAATTAGTGATGCGTTTATTATTTTAAGATTTTAGTCGGTAGTGTCATTTATGTTGTATCTCGTTCTGTCTATTCTACATGTAACGTTATTCATTTTTATATTTATGTTTCATTTCTTGATTAGCAAATGGACTGTTAAGTCATTAATATTTTTAAAGGAGAACACAGTGTAGAGTAAAAGCTAATCAATTTTTTTGCTATTTCATTGCATT